CCTACAGTAGCAGCAGCATCAATGACGAAGTGGACGGTGCATGATGAATGTAGGTGTGGATAGGGAAATGAAGAGCGTTGTGAATGGTACAGAGAAGTTGGAAGCGGTGAGGAATGAATACAGGTTTGACCTGCGCATTCTTGCTCGCGGCTGGCATTTTGCCTGTGTTACTAGTCCTTTTGGGGCACATGGCTCCCTCACTATCTCTTGTGGACATACAGGTGCGGGTCTCTCTTTGTCTACCGCCACTGCCGCCCCGTATTTAGCCTACTCAACTGTACCTTATGACCGCTTCATGGGGGCACCGATTATATCCACTGCTTACTCAAAGGAGAGTGTTTCGGCGCAGAGTCGCTACTGGTGTACGAAATGGAATTAAGGTGTACATGGAAAGTCTGTAGAATGAACTGCCAGTGAATGTATGCATGGAAAATGATCTTTGTGGGAGGAAGCGAATGTGTAGCATTTTTCTCGTGGTGTGCTTTCATCTTGAGGTGCTAAATTTGACACCTCGTCATTGAGGACCACAGCGACGAAATTGTGCACTGGTTGGCATATTCGCTAAGTTAAAGCAGTTGTTAAGGCATGTCTTTCCCTATCGTTAGTCCCTTGATGGCAGGTGAAGATAACGCAGGCTTGGTGATTCACAGTGGGTCTGGTATATGCAAAGGCGCCTCTGCTGGTGACGATACATCTCGTGCTGTCTTTTCTTTCATCGTTGGAAGAGCCTGGTGAGATCCGGCATTACACCTTTTATAGTGAACCATTTGAGGCACCTGATGAGCAACCCGTTCTTCCCATTGAGTCTCCACTCAAACACAAGGCTAATAGCACGAAGACGACTAACTGATTTTCGAGATCATCAACAGTCTGGTGATGTGTGTATTTATCTATGTCTCTACTTGATCCACTGGAGTCTAACGCTACTTTGTTCATAATGTGACACACGACGCCCATCTACATCATTTATACACCTGCTGTTGCTCTTTTACGTCTGAACTCAGTGTGCGGAGAATTAACGAAACACCATGTCAAGACCATGACAGTGTGGTTACAACTTTACCACTACAGCAGAACTTGAAACAGCTCACCATTTGTGGAGGAAAATTTAATGCCTACTTGTGGATTATGAGCAAGGAATGATGGTACCAAATCCTAGCGCCATTTTAAATCGCATCTGCACACAGACAACCGGTCGCATGATTACTACTGGGAAGGAGTGTTTCCACTGTCCTCACACCCTTACCAACCTAATTTTCTAAGCA